CGTTTGGAAATTGTAACCGGTGTTACTGGTAACTGCCAATAATTACCAAAGCATTTAGAAAATGTGACTTAAATAACCAATCATATTTAAAAATCACTGTTATGACTCATAACTGATTTTTAAACGTGCCCAAAAAAACACTACAAAGGTCAAAGGTATGGGATTGCCTGACCATGTCAAGGGGCAATTCAGGGTTACTGCCTGGCAATTTACATACATGACAATTCTTATAATTTATCATGAATAATTTATGACTTTAATCTCATTTTTGATTACATTACATTGGATATAACCCATCTAAAATAAGCACACTTGAGGCTGGCCATTGTGGGCTGATGCCTCAATCTAAAAAAAAAAAAAAACAGGCAAACAAGAAAACTTTTTTCCAGATAAACAACAATGATATAAATTTATATATATATAAATTTTGAAAAACTATAACAACATTTTAAAATATCTTATGCAGTTTTGAATTTCTATATTTACATTGAAAATTATCCTTTTTTCAAATATAATTAAAACTTTTGGAAATAATAAACAAAAGCATATACAAAAATTAGCAATTATTCAGTATATTTTTTAAGTGAATCAATAAATAAAATGTAGCAGTTGTCCTGTCAAATAAAAGAAATTGACTAATAAACTTCATTTCACTATTATTACACTTTATTTAAACAAAAGGAATCTTGAAAGGCAAGGAGACCATATCCTCATGGTACGAGTAGTGACAATCAGCTACTTAACCAAATCTGGTCTCCAAACCTCCTTTCACTTATCCTGTAGCTTTTTCCCTGAACTTGTAATGCTCCCTCTTCTAAGGGAAGAAATGATCTAATGAGATACAGAATAATTTAAAAGGGACTTGGTTGTCTAAAATGCTAGAGAGCAACTTGTAAATAAATGTAAATGATAGTAAAGCAGTTTAGCCTATTGACTTTGTTATATGGCTTAAGAAACTTAGTTATTTTTGCATTAATAATGTTTTTATTATAAAATATAATTTATATTTTAAATTACCTGGTTTAACTTAACATTCCATGAAATATAACAGTATTCTCCCCTAAAATTTCCAAATTTCATATTTCCTATTGTTTCTTCTGAAAAACCAATACTTCGACATTGTCTGAAATCACCTGTCCAATGTATGCTACCTCTCAGTAATCCAGATGGTAATTTACCTGCTGCATCCAACACTAAAAATCAAAATATTAAAATTCATAAAACATTTACTTTATATTTTATTTATTTATTTATTAGTTATTGATACAAGTACAAGTACTCCCATACAAGGGAGAAAAATGAAACAAAATTTATAAAATAAGTAGCCACATAATGGTCTCTTAATTGTATTTAAACGAAACAATAAGAATAAAAAAGGCTGCATTTTTAAAGGTTTGTGTCAAGATTTCATTAGAGCAGTCAGAGAAGAGTATAAATAATAATAGAAAGATCTAACAAAAAAAAATAAACAATTTATATAACTAATTAAAAACCTACTAATGTGAGGTAGGAGTAAGGACTTATCACACCAGTGATAATAAGCACAAACACCCAGGTATCAATGGAATACATTTAATAAAACGTGAAGAGGTGTACATTAAAAATGATTAAATTAACAATTGACATGAAATAACCAAAATGCATTTCGGACTATCGGAATAGTCCCTCTTCAGTTGGTATACATATATAAAAAGGTGAGATACTTAAAATTAAGCAATTTCTTTATATTAATTTATATAACATTGTCTTCAACGTATTTCCATCATAAAAATAATTCTTTAAAAAATCGTCAGAGAGAATCTCTCTCTTTAACAAATATAAGACTGAGCATGACACAAAAATATATGCTGATATATAATCCTGATCAATAATACAATATGGGCAAGAATGCCCCAGGAAATTTCTATATACTGACCACTCAACATAATTTGATATTTATTAAGATGTAATTGCATTAACAAACTTTTCATAGAAAATCTAATGTTATAATTTAAGTAATTGGTGGTCTACCAACCTGTACTTTTTTCATAAATATATATTTACTTTATATATTTATATAAAAAAGTTCTTAATCTTTGTTTTAATGCTTTATTTATTTTCCATTTTTTTAATGAGAAAATTAAGACAAGAAACTTCAAGAGTTGCTTCTTGAGATGCCATTGGTCCAACTGCATAGGACACACCCTTGGATAACAAGATTAGATCTTTATACTCTGAACTGAGAGACTCCATCCTGTTTTGGCCTGAGGTGAGGGCTCCTCTGCAATGACATCTCACTGTGTTTCCTGATCTCTTGGAGTTAGTCACATTGGGAGAGGAGAGATCCACTATCAAGCAATCATGCCCCTGTACACTCCATCTTCACACCAGACACCCACAAAGGTCCTGATGTCTTTCAGAGGACTAATTGGGGCAACTACACCAAAACTCTCACACAGATATGAAGCTCCTAGTCTCCAACTACAGAAATCAAGGACTGTATCAAAGCAAAACAATAGGCCAACACAGTCATCAACTCACTGGACACTTCTCCTTTCCTCTCCCAGTGGATGTCAGATACCACCATCTGTGAGCCTGTAAGCAACAGGCATTTGAGTAGCCAAAAGACAGACAACTTGCCTTACAGTACTAATGAAATACCCACTAATGGTTAAATGCCTATCAACTAGTCTACAAAGAGCAATGATAATGGTAGTGATGTTTCTGCTCTTCCCTCCTTCCAACCTCCACCCTTACACATCTGTTATCTCCAAATCCCCATTCCAGAATCCAACTCCTACCATGTACTCAGCCAATCAGGAGAAACAATTACCACCCCAATGGAACAAATGTTTCTGCTTGTTCTATTTACCAAATTCTTCAGCTGAACATAGCCAATCTGGAACTTTGCTCTGCAGCCACCATCCACAAATCAACATCAGTGGAATAATGACAGTGGTTTTCATATCACCAATCTTCAGGCAATTCTCTGATCTATGTATCCAAACTCATTTTGTCCAGCTAGGATCAGTGCTTCCCCCTCAAACACCTCAACCTAGAGGGTAGAAGCATTCTGCTCAGTCAGTTCAGCTTCATTTGAGACAGGTCCATGCCTAGCAGTATGGAAAATTCCAATTGTCATCCCAAACCATAAACCCAAAGGACCTCCCATTTGCTCTATGATCTTAGCCAAAATTCAAAATAATATATTCATTATATTTTAAAATAAATGATCAAAAACCTTGTGTAAAAGAACATACAGTAAGCATGGGCTGAAGTAAACATTACTTTGCAATAAACCAGAATATTCTTGTACATTTATAATTATCTGAAATACTTCATTAACTGAAGTAACTCTTGTTAAAATTAGTTTTGATATACATGTTTCGCTTGAATGTGTACATTCAAATCATTCTTACTATAAGACATTATTTGATTCTCAACTGAATGGAAGCACAGCATAAAGGAATGGAGAATGCTATCTGTAGTCTTGGCTATATTCTAACTTAAGTATATTACAGAAAGTGGAAACTGTTATGACACTTACATTTGTGTAGTACTGATACAGTACTTATATGGTAAGGAATGAAAGGGTCATATACTGTATACAAACAAAGATAAGATAAAATTAAAAATGCTTTGAACAAAACAGTTTTATAACAGAATGTTTTGAAACTTAGGATCTGTTTGGAAATTCTTACTGATTGAGTATTGGTAGTCCTGAATGAAGTCATTGTATTTAGCCAGTCACCTTCTAGCCCCCTCAAACATTAATAAGTGGGGTAGTAAATGGTAAATCACTGAAAACTTTATATGTAATTTTTGTATGACATCAATCTCAGTGGTTGTACTGATAAACATTTATGAATAGATCCCTACTAATATAATAAATAGAAAAATGACACAACTTAGGTTAACAACAAAGCCATTTGTTCACAAACATTAATTATATTCACCCTAGATTATGTTATCAATTCTTGACAGTTTTTGTCTTAATTAATTTTCTCCCTAAATAATGTTAGTTAACAAAAATAAATATAGTAACATAATTAAAAATTCTTATTTAAACTAGAAATAAGAATTTTGAAAAATTGAATTGAAATAAAACTTAATTTTTTAACTTATAATTAAATAGTTATTTTTTTATATTTAATATAAAATTGTTACATATAATAAAAATAACCAAAAATACCATAAAGATCATAAAATTTAATCACATTTGTTTCAATGAATTAGATTATTACTAATTGAAAACCGCTAATTTGATATTTATATAGTTAAAGAATAAAAAGTATACATAAACTTACTTTCAGTTGCTCTTTTCTTGTTGGTTTTAAACATCAAGTACATTAAATAGTTTAAATCATAATTGCATCTGCTATTTGTAGATTTGCTTCTTTTTAATAATTCTTTTTCAAGAAATTCTTCAAAATTAAATTTGTTTAGTAATTCCTGAATAGCTTCAACATCAATTTTTGATAGTGTTGAATTAATTTCTAATAATATCTTTGCAATAATTGTTGAATTCAAATCACCCAGAATATCATTAATGATTGTTTCATTCAATTTTGTTATTATATTATCAATTAATGTTATATTTAAGTTTGATAAGACATTTTCAAAATTTGTTAAATTAAATTTTGATAGATCATTTTCAAAATTTGAGAAATTAAGTTTAGATAAATCATTTACAATATTATCAATTAATTCTACAAGTGCATCAATTGTCTTATTCAAATCATGTTTTGCAATAGATGAATTTGATGGAATAGTTGAAGTAGTAGGATTAGGTGTATAAATACCTCTTGGAGATGAAGTACTGAATCTCTGTGTATAATGATCTATTGAAACAGTTGGATTTGATGATACAGTTGGATTTGATGAAACAGTTGGATTTGATGATACAGTTGGATTTGATGGAACAGTCGTAGTAGCAGATGTGTATGAAATTCTTGAAACTACTTTCCGAGTTGAACTTATCTCTTCAGTTTCAGGTGGTATAATTGTTGGGAATTCATCATCAATATCAGATATATTAAATTCAGACAATAAATGATTTCTTACTTTTTCAAGTTTTTGAATAATTCTTTTTAATTTATCATCAAAACTGCCAGTTGGAAATAGTTCATCATTAGTATCATCAATTACAGTGGGAATACGATAACGATTTCCTTGATGTCGATTATAATTATGCCAATTAAGTTTAGGATTTGAAGAACCATGAACCATCCAAGAAGCATCTGGAACTTTTGACAAATATGTTAACCATTTCTTGTATAAATCGTTCAGTTCATCTAAACTATCATCATTAAACACTTCTGCATCTGGTAGAGCAAAACAATTTTGCAAATTAATAATAAAACCTAAAAGTAGTAGTTTCCAAATCATATTAATTTCTTTTCCACTCATCTTGCATCAATCAATGTAATTTTGAAAAGAATTAGATTAACAATAAAATCATCTTTTATTCACTTATCAATTATATTAGACAATAGACATATCAATGATAATGATGGTTTAGTTATCTATTATTATAATGATTGGCTAAATTTTGTCTTTAGATAGTACGTTTACACCATACATTTTATAATATAATGTTGTATGAATTAATTTCAAACTATTCNAATGGGATCGGTGTATTCAAATATTAAAATTAATAAATTCTAAAAATTTTTTCTTTAAAAAAAATTCCTAAGAACCACAAGTGAATTACACTTTTTTAATTCCGACTTCGATAGAGTTTTAAAAAAACAACAGAAAGAGACCAGGAAATCACTTTCACTATTTCTTACTTTATTTTATCCATATATTACTTTATTTTACCTTACTTTATTTTATCAAAGTCGGAATTAAAAAAGTGTAATTCACTTGTGGTTCTTAGGAATTTTTTTTAAAGAAAAAATTTTTAGAATTTATTAATTTTAATATTTGAATATACCGATCCCATTGTTTTATTATTTATTTATCATATTCTAATTATATTTGGATTACATTAATATGTGTTTTACTTCTGCATCTTTAACAAGTAATTTTTTAAACCATAATTTATCTAAATATACATAGTGTTTGAAAATATTTAAAAAAAATAATGAAAGTGATTAAAATTATTAACTTGCAGATCTGAAAGTTTTTTGATTTAAAAATACTTGCTACTTAATTTTAAATTTTCATATTATGTATCATTATTATCAGACAATCACAAAACAATAGAAAAATGATAATGTTATCATTTGAAAAAATATAATAGATAATATAACCTTTCATCTGAATAAACTTTATGTTATATAAAATATAAGATAGTAATATTGCAGTTACTATCAATCAAATAAGTAAAATATAAAAGAATGAAAACAATCTAAAAATTACCTATTAATTTTAAAATATTACAAGTGGAAATAAGTAAATTTCTACACAGTTAATTTATGTATGCTATAACTGTCATAGATCTGGTTAATTCAAAAGTAAGGGAAAAGGTATTTGTCATTTAAAAATACAAGGAAGCAAAAAGATTGATGGATTCTGTCCATCCCAAATGAAAGTGAGCATAAAAGATGATGAAAAGTGTGTTACCTTCATTCTGCAACATTTAGGCCATCAAAATGAATTGTCATACAGTTTTGTCATCGAAGGACAGAAATATATTAGCAACAAAAATTTCTTTGAGGAAACCTTTCAATGTCATAATAGAGGAAATCAGAGACAGCCTATCAACTCCTGAAGAGCTACAAAGACTTCATTTAGTAACCAGAAAGGATCTACATAATATTGAGAGTAGTTTCCAATTGTCATCAAATTCTGTTAAACATTCAAATGATTCAATAAGTGTATATGCCTCTGTGAATGAAATGAGAGATAGCAGTGATGATTGTGTGTTGTTTTATGAACCACAAGGTAGAAATGTGAAGAATATTACTAACTTTGCTTTAGCTATTATGAATGATAGTCAGGCTTTTATGTTAGAAAAATATGGAAATGATGCTGTTTATATTGATGGGACTTAATGCTTATGATTTTGAATTAATATCACTGATAATAATTGATGATATGCGACAAGGTTTCCCTTGTGCTTTTTTTGTTTGAACTGACAAGACGATATTACAGATCTTTTTTTTCCTAAGATTAAAGAACGAGTAAGCTCCTTGTCACCAAACACATTTATGTCAGATATGGCTGATTCATTTTTCAATACTTGGATGCATGTTATGGGGAAACCTGCTCAAAGATTATATTGTGGCTGTACGCCTTCTTTATTCTGTATAGTTTTAAGTTTAATTTATATTCTATTTCTATGAATTTATTCTTCCTTCCAATTTTCTTTGTTCCTTTGTCTCGAACTTCCAAGAAATGCGACTTACCCCTAGCCCACCAGGAGGTAGAGGAGAAACAATAGAGGGCGACGAGGCTGGAGGGAAAAGGAAAGACATTCCGGTGGACATTCTTGGACCAGACACGAGAGGCAACAGACATGTGGTGACAAGGCTTGTAAGTAGAATCCGATGAGTGCTAAAAAAAAGGGAGACCGTAGAGAACGGATCAAGAAGGAGTAGATCGATAGATCTGGAGAAGAACCCTCAGAAAGCCGATCTGCAAGTGAATAAAACATTTGAGACTCAGAAGTTGAGATGAAGAAATACTTGGAATACTCACCGATAAATTGGGTACCTTTATCCTATAACTCTTAGATTTAAGTTCAATCGAGATTCGCACACATTAGTTACATTAGTTACTTGTTATTGTTAGTCGATAGTTGTAATGGGACTTAACTACATGGGTTACTGTTATGATACCAACACCGAGTATAATTGGAAGTATGTAAAGGAACAGCGGGAATCCATAAAGAATTTGTAGATATTGATTTATCGCGAAATTAAATTAGTTTTAATTGATTGTGTGTTTTTCTTTTCATGTTATACCTTTTACAATATTGTTTGTGGCATATTGACCATGCATGGCACAAGAACCTCTGTAAAATAAAGTCTAAAGAGAAAAAGACTGAAGTGTATAAAATCATATGATCACTGATGCAAGAAACAGATGATGAAATATTTAAATTAATTTCAGAAGCAGCAGTGACAAAGTTGATTGATGATCCTGACACAACTGATTTTGGACAATATTTCAAAGTAAACTATATAAAAACTGCAAAATATTGGGCTTATTGCTACATAATACATTCAATGTTCCCTCTAATTTTTTTTGTCGATGAGCGGAACACACACNCATATTGTTAGCTTTAACAAACTGAATTTAATAATAATTCTCATGCTTCATGTTTTGATCAATGTTCCCTCTAATTTTTTTTGTCGATGAGCAGAACATATACTTCTCTGAGCAAAAAAAAAATTTTCTGAGCACATATATATAAAATCTTATTTTTTTCTATAAAAATTAAAATAATTAATTATAAAGTAGAGATTAAAATTAATTTTAAAACATACTTTTATACAAAATATTATCTCTTGTCAATGATTTAATGTATTTAATTGAAATATACGTAGCAATAATCATGTTGCAGACAGAGTGAGAAATAAGTAAACAACAATTCAAATCGGTGTGCATGATTGCCTGCATGGCTCATAAATTCTCGTGTGCGGCAACAATTTGAGCAGTGCGCGGCCACGCAGCTTAGAGGGAACATTGACTACATTGTGGCCTAAATACAAATATGCATAAGTGCATTAAATACATATATTTGCAAGGAAAATGAGTAAAGCATCTAGATAAAGCCATTCATGTTTTAATGACTTTTTTAAGAGATAAGATATATGATAGAATCGTTGTCATGCATAAAGGAAAAGTAACAAGCAAGTTTTCTGATCTGAGAAAAAGACACAAAACTTGCTTAAGCTTATGCAAAGATCTTGTTATAAAAGAGGATAACACATGGGAAAATTCCTTCATCAAATGGATCAGATATCTATACAGTTGCTATGGTAAAAGAAAATTGTGAATGTCAAATAGTATGTAATGAATGTAGATCTTGCATTCATATTTGTTGAAAATTTACAACTTGTAGAAGAATTTGAAGGTGTAGAGAAACTGTTGAAATCTGTAGAGCCCACATTAGAGGCAATTAGAACAAATATTAACAAACAGAATTTTAATGAAACAAAAAAAAATCAAAAAAGAAAAACATTGAGCCTCAATGAGGATTTACTTCCAGTACGAAGAGAAAGGATGTTAAAATTACCAGATTATCACCAAAACCCTCCACAGAAAAACAAGAGCACATTGCTTTGAATATCCTAAGTTCAATGAATTCTGAGGGACATTCTGCTTGACTGTTATTTTACTATTGTAAATCCTATTTGACAATTTTGAAATACAGTATATGAGAAGACTTTCTTATTGAGTAATGATAAATGTATATTTGAATTGTAAACTTGTTTAATTTATATACTTGGCATTTAATGATATTAAAATTTAATTATTTGTGCTTATTATTTGATTTGGTATTTTGTTACTTATTTAACTAGATTTTTTGTACCAATTTGTTTTCTGCTAACATTATGCAATATTAGATCACAAATATTACCTCAATAGAAATTAATGCAAATGAATTCATAAATACTGTATAGAGGCTAAATGACATCAAACCTCTATAGCATTGTAGTATAATATAATACCAGTTTTTCAACGTTGATGTTCCTCATTAGTTTGTTTTATCAGGGATAGAACTAGATAGGAATAATAGGACGATGTCCACTTGACATTTTATTATAAAAATTATGTCTTGAGATTTGGTTCTATCTGCCCTTATGGGATGGAAGAATGTTAGATATGTTTCTATTTAATGTTGAAAAATACTGCATATAAGGAATTACACTGTTGGGTATGTTATAATTTATTAGAAAATAAATGTTTAGAAATTGTAAAGTTGTAGTTATTAAAGAAAAAAACATGCAGAGTAGTTCTTCCTAGCAAACATTGTCTCTTCCACCTATAATTGGCTGAGTGAGAAGTTTTAGTCTTGAACCATGTCTTTTTCTCTAAGTATTCCTTTCCAAAATATTAATATCCAGACAATACGAAGGTTGCATATGTCATGTGAGTAATGAATTTATAATTAATGCAAACAGTAACGTTTTTTAGGCTATATATTTATGCATATTACAGAATGTTCAATTACTACTAATAATAGCACTTCCCTCAATGGGAAAACACCAAATTTTAAGTCATCCTATGTTTTATTTTATTCTTAATTCAATCTGTCTTAAAATATTAATTTTTTTTTATAGAATAATTCATTTTTAAGCAAGATGTATATTCATAAATTCATTTTATTTTCACTTTTAAGGGGCGTAAATTACAGTGGTACCTCAGGTTACGAACGCCCCAGCATACGAAATTTTCAGGGTACGACATGAAATTCGAACATATTTTTGCTCCACGATACGAACAAAAACTCACCATACGACGTTACATTAGTTCGCATTTTTCATTTGTTTTTCTTACTACAGTTATTTTTTTAAATGTATTACTTGGCTTTAATTTGAGTATGTTTTTCGCGTTGGAACGAATTATTTGGTTTTACATGTAATCGTATGGGAAAAGATGATCCACCTTACGACATTTTCATGATACGATCTCAGTTTCGGAACGGATTAATTTCGTATCCTGAGGTACCACTGTACTTACTTATTCATATATTACGTAAGGGCGATTTCGGCCATTCTACACCTCCACCCACCTCTGTAAGAAACCATATTATTTTCTTTGATTTCCCTTCCCTTCCCTATCTTACGTAATATTTAGGCATGATTTTATAGAAAGATTTTAACAAAAATAAATTTTTTTATGAAACTCTGAAAGCCTTAGGTTCAAAATATATAATTATTAATTAGTTAATTAAATTAAAATATGTACTATTATTTATAAAAATCTTTATGTGAACAAATTTTAAAATATATAAAAATTTAATGAATTCAAATGAACAATTTATTTTAAGAACTTTATTTTTTAATTATTAACAATATTTTTATTATTTAGCCTATTATCATTAATCAATGCCATAATATTCATTTTTATATTAATTTTAATTTTCACAAAAGGACGCAAAAAACTTCTACAAAATCAACTAGCTAGTGCACGTGTAAACAAACATCATACAAAATAAAACAAGAGAGAATAGAGAGAAACCACATTCTGTTGCCATATTGATTACATCGTCACTAAGGCCAAGAAAATAAACTACAAGCTGCTAAAATGTGCTAGGTGCACCTGGGAACTAAATTATAAAGCTTGTAAAAATCTATATAATGGGGCAATATAACTAATGCTACTTTACATGGCCTCTAGCTAGGGTCATGTAACTAGTAAAAATTCAGTTGTAAGTAAATTACTCTCTCTTAAATGACAGTTTGAAACCAAGTGCTGCAGAACTGTTTCTACTAATGTCTCTCTGATACTAGCAGAGCTCCTTCCTATGCCACTATGTATTTAAAAAAGGTTCTAAACTACTACATCAGAACTACAAACATCAAGGCCCAACAACAGTCTCTACTCCTATCTACGGCTGTTCATATGCTACCACATTTCAATTACCCCACTTTACAGGATACCATCGTTTACAGGATGATCCTGTAAACAAGGTTATCTCCAGGGTACATTTAGTGTCATCTGCTTCCTCCATGGATAACCATGCAGACATTAATATCTACATAGATGGGTCCAAAAGCCCCATTCATGTTGGCTTAAATATCTGTATCTTCCTCCAAGAAGGTACAGATACCCCCCGCAAACCTCCATCTATCAAGCTGAAGATGCTGTCTACCAAACTGTTCAGTGGGCCACTTCACTACCAAACAAAACTCTGTCTATCAACATTTACAGTGATTCTCAGTCTGTCCTAAAACCTCTATTACATCTCAATTGCATTAGCAATAAAATCACATATCCAGCACCATATTAAAAATCTTGTAAATAAGATAACTTTAATATTTGTTCCTGGTCATACTGGCATACTAGGAAATGAAAAACTTGACTTTGAGGCTAAGTCAGCTGCAAAGAACACTGACTCAGACTACACTCACATCCCTCTCTCATGCTGTAGCAGCCTTAAAAATTATATCCATGGCAACACTATGCAAAAGTGGAATCAACTGGTAGAATAACAAGACTTTATTGTCATAGTGTTGAATGCAGGTTCTCGTCATCACTTAGAGGTTTAACATGTGCTACTGCTCAACTACTTACTGAGCATGGTAATTTTAGGAGTTACCTGGTGATGTATAACCGGGCAGAAACTGCTTCTTGCTTTTGCTCTGCAGAAAACCTAGACACCGTCGACCATTCGATCTATCATTGTCCAATTTACGATCAAGATATACTTATTCTGAAATTAGAAATCTTTATGCTTAGTTTCAGGAGGCCATGTCCACTGGATAAGCTTGTTCAGAAGCCACTGTTTGATGCTTTTTACAATTATGTTAAAAAAATATGGAAGAAAAGACTATATCTAATTTCTAATTTTACATTTTAGTTATCACTAAAAGCCGAATACTAATTTTATGTTTACTTTGTATCATGTATTTTGGTTTATGTATTCTTAGTGTTATGCACCCATAGGAGTGGTGCACTTAGACCCTGTACACACTAGGCGTTTTTCAACGCGCGTTAAACGCGCGCTTTTAAACGCGCGTTTAAAAGAACCAAGAGTTCTATGTAGCCGTACACACTCAAAAGCCAAGCGCGCGTTAAACGCGCGTTTTGCGAGCGCTTATAGATTTTTGTTAAAACGCGCGTTTTGCGAGCGCTTTACGGGCGCTTTGAGATATATGTGCTGCCATGTTACCGTACATGCGATCGCGCGTTTTGCGGGCGTCAGCCGAGCGCTTTGAGATATATGTGCTGAAATGGAGAACGATCATTTCGATACTGATCTATTTATTGATGAAATCTAAAAGAGACCAACCATCGTCAAAGGATTTTATAGATATTTTAAAAGAATTAAAAAACTTGAATTTATTTTGTCTTAGTTTTGGATACAACGTCGCAAACATTTCATGCGTCAGTCTATCTCGTAATATTGGGTGCACCCAAAATTCTCTTTGCCTCTGCCGTCGTCTTTTATAGCGACGATAGAGGAGCCACACACAAGCAATCACTTCCACATCCATTTCCAAACCGAGCCAGTGCGCACGCTCCGCTAAACGCTCGTTAAACGCCGAGCTAACGCGCGTTAGCTCGGCGTTCGACGAGCGTTGAAAAACGCCTAGTGTGTACAGGGCCTTATTCTAATAAAAAAAAAAAGAGAGAGAGAGAGAGACTACCACCTATTATGTCACAAGAGATAGCGTTAGTACAACGAGCATTCTTAATAGAAACCGCCAAATTGAAGCCAAATTCAATCAAAACTTCACCACTCAACGAGATCAAAAAATAAAAATAAGAATATTACGCAAGACAAGATCTATTGCCCCCTACCCCTGCGTAAGAAATCCTTGATCCCCACCCGCACCAAAATACCTTATGTAATTTATGGACGGCCCCTAACTAATTTCGCAGCATTCTGCTGAGTACTGTATAAATTTAATAATTATAGAAATACATGTAATGCAATATAAAATTTTAAAATATTTTTATTGAAATTTATATTAACATATATTTTACATATATTAAAACATCTTAGTACAGGAAAATGAAACACAGTAATTCCCCGAACTTACGCGATAAGTGGGACCGAGCGATAACCGCGTAAGTCGGGGTATAATTTCGCAGTTTGTGTAAAATCCAAGTCGGACGTATGTAAGCTAATAAATGTTCTCGTTAATCTTATCTCGTCTTTTGATTCGTTTACGGTTACAAGAAATCACCACGTAGAGTCTCTCAAGGCTTCGTAGATATAATAAACACAGAAATAAATAACACAAAATAAATTGTAGCTATGTATCGATTCCGCGCGACACGTCCGAACATGTAAATCGAACAATAGTGTGGGAGTGAGTAATCAAGAGTTGCGTGGCGCTCAAACAAAAGACGAATCGACGAGATTTGAAAATCGCGTAAGTCGGGGTAGTGTAAGTCGAGATATTGTCTTTATAACTTCGATAGTAGTACGCCGTAAAAACTTAGCTAGCCGGACCTCCACCGCAATCCAGACGCAAACGCAAATAAGTCACGCGATTAAAAGTTTTTACGGTGAAGGTTTTTACGCTAGTGGAGTATCTGCCTAAGAGGACTTTCACAGGGCACGTTCGTAAAGTCGAACGAGTTAAACGAGAATGACGTCATCGTTATTCTTATTTCGTTAGACTTTTCGAACGATTCGTTTAGAACTAAATGGCTGTTTCTAAAATCGAAGATACAAATGTTGCTAGTACAGCCTTATCCAAAATATTTTTCTTAGATTGTTTCGGGTGAACAGTTACTCCAATCATTTCATCTTTTAATTCACAATTTAAACGCTCGAGTAGATTTAGAAACATCGATATCGTCGGGCGCCATTTTCTTAACGAAGTAAACTAACTCTTTCCTTCGTGAACTTCGTTAGAGTTTCGTTCGAAACGTCATCACCGCAGAGCATGCGCACTGAGCGAGACTACTACTATTCGAACGATTCGTTACTAACGCGTTTAACTCGTTTGACTTTACGAACGTACCCACAGTTTGAACATGGCGGCTATTCGCGTTTTTCGTTAACTATAGCGGGAGCTGCATTTTTATAAAACGGCTAGCTTGTTTGGGTAGCCTGTAACTAGTAATGTAAACTTAATCATATATTACTGTCCGATATAATGATATATGCGGCTTGTAGCTGTTTATCGAGAAACTATATAGAAGAAGAACAATTATTGCTAGCAGGATACGTTACTAGTGAGGTTGCTGCAGGATCCTACTTGAACTACTGACATTATATTTGTCAGCATGGCAATAGCGAAACGAGAGCCGCCGTTGCAGTGCTGCCAAATATAGCTTTGTTCTTTATATATGATTAGTGAATGATACAACACGCAAATGCGACTGAAACCTGTAAAATTCTTATTTGCATTCATATAATTGAACTATGTTGCAGTAATTTTAATTATTTATTGTACAATAATTTATTAATCAACTGCCATCAACAGCAACACTGCACACAGTAATTCTATTGCACAGATGCCGGTTCAGATGCAGTTATTGTCATTAATAATAACATTCTTTTTGACATGTGAATATTAAAAGGAATTAGTTTAGTTGTATATGGGAACACGACACGGGGGAGGAGTGCCTCTCGGGAGAACTTTCAATGGGAAACTGACACCTGTTTAGGTGTTACAAACGTGAAGAAAACTCGGAAAATTCTACATTGTCAGCCCGTTGGCGAGGCGCAAACTCACAAAAAAACTACAAATGTTCAGTGGTTTCTCCACTCAGACACTGATAGGCAACTCTAAAAGGCCTTCAATACTGTTCATTGTGGGTTGGACCATAACCACAATGGTAGGTATGGTCCAACCCACAATGGTGAGGGAGGAAGCTCAACGTATCTGAGATAGAGCTTTCATGAAAAATTCTTGGAGAGTTGCTCGCCCGGATTCGATCCCAACTCGTCCAGAGAGGTGGGCCAAGACCTTTACTGCCATGATTATCATCCTTTAATCATTATTACACAGGAACTAATTCAAAAATTAAAAATATAAAATAAATCCAAAAATTAATCATTAAAATTTTTATCTAATTCAATTAACGCGTAACAATGAATCTCAACAATTGATCTTTTCATTGTTTTGCTCTTTTGTTGCGAAGAGTGCGATTTCGAGTGATAGAAAAATGTTTTTTGATTCTGGCGATTATCGACCCTTGCGTCCACCCTTGGGGTAAGAAATTTTTCACATTTTATTGTTATTTATGCAAATAAGAAATTTATTCAAAAAAATTAATGGATTTAAATAGAAATTGCTCGGTGCAGATGATAATTAATTAAAATTAAGTTAAATTGTGTATTAGGAAAATCGATGCCACTAAATTTTGGTTGTCAAAGGTCGAGGGGTGGGGAGATAAAAGAGGACATGTGTCTAATCTCGAGTAGGGTCGGACCTAATGACAATTTTACTCTTTGTTAGCATTTACAAATCTATATATATAAAGTTGCTTGTCCTGACTGACTGAATGACTCACTCACTGATTCATCAGCGCCCAGAGCGAACCGCTGAACCTAGAGGTGAAATTTGGTACACAGTTAGGGTACGTCATGAAAACGCACACTAACAAGTAAGAAGGGATTTTTCGAAATTCCCTCGCGGGGAAGGAGAGGGAGAGGATTTAGTCTTCATCGAGTACTTACGTGTATTAAATTAATAACATTTCAGACATTGTTATAAATATTTTTATCTATTTCGATTTAAAAAAATGTTCGAATTGTTTTAAATTCAAATTTGTTATTGCATATTGATTCGATTATAGAATGATTGTAAACGTTCCAGAAAATTGATCAAATTGAAAATAGTTCGTTTTATTCTCGGCAATTCTCATCATTCTCAGCGGTAGGTGTTATATAACAATTACTATGGTTGTTGAAATACTGAATATAAATGAGGTTTGCTTGCAAAAGCCGCGGGTAACAGCTAGTCTTTTATAAAACCCATTCCTGCCCTCAAAATTAAGCTTTTTACCATTTCACAATAGTTAAAAATATAAAAAGTTTTTAAATAAAATATCGTAACAGATGCAGCCACCAAATGTTGCCGGAAAGTTAAGCAACTCGTTGCTGAATTTTAAAATTAAGTTTAGTCATTTTTAGACACATTTTTCTCTCATTCTTCAAAAGTCTCCTTGTTTAAGCGATGAAAATATGGTCACTTCATATATGTAACACAATGATGATAATTATTTATATATCTATCTATATCTATCTACACGTAGAAAAGGTACAGGCGGCTATGCATTCTTCGGCTCCGTTAAAAACTATAGACCTCTGTCGTGATGTTATTGGGTGCATCGTTAAACTAAGCTACACATACCTCCTCTATATATAATCAAAGTTCGATAGAGCACCACTGTCCATCACTGAGATCGGCATTAAACCGAAAAATCTCAAATATAAGAACTCGTTGCAGAACTCGTTACACACAGTAACGAGTTCTGCACATAACTTTGAATTTGAATTAGGGGAGGCCCTACACGTCCACAAAATAGTAATAACTTTAATAACGCGAATCTCTAAGTGATCGGAAGGCATCGGAACTTTAATCGTGAATCAGAAGGCATCCCCCTAGGCAGATCGTTCAAGTGTTGCATTGTTATAACTTAACAGACATTTAAGCGATAATTTGTTTATTTCATGGAAAATTTTGGGAAATATTGAATAAAATGTTTCTCAAGTAATGTGTTATAATTTCTCTATAAGTTTTACTGCATTGTAAATTCTTTCTTTCTACTTTTAGTGAGCGATTGGTTGAAGGTAAGGAGGACTATGGATCGAATAATGACATTATGGGTCTTCCAACGAACATCGAAATGAATAAAGGCTTCAAGAAGCACGAAGATTGTACGGAAAATACGAACACCATTGGGTATACTATTGGATATACCATTGGATATGCTATTGGATGTGCTGTTAGAGATAGAAAGACATTGAAAAAAGCCGGATCTTTCTTCAAGGCAGTATGGAAACCAGTCAAGAGGTATGTTTCTGTATATGTCAGTACAAAGTTCGATTTAGCTCGGTCATTCGTTACAATTTGTCCTTTATAATTCTCACTGAGTCCAGTGTGATGCTAAACCGAAGTATCTCAAACAGCAACAATTATACACAGTATTAAGATGTACGCAGAGATTTGAGCTTGAAAACTTCGTAATTTTTATGAGAATGGCATGACTTTCCTATATTTTTGGCGCTACATCGATATTTACCAAACTAGTTTCATTTCTAATCCAATGAAAAGATAAACTACAAATGAAAATAATAACGAGCAATTATTTATTGAGAGATCGTCACAATGTCGGGCTGCAATATTTAATAGTGGCAATTTATAGTACAATTTTTTCAAATTCTAGCCCAATAATTATAAGGCTTTTAGAATAGTAAAATTGGATTTAAAATATCGCTGAATGAATAAATATAACATTTTTTTGATTCTCAATTTGATATAATGTAATATTTGCAATCTATCAATATAAACACAGTCGAACCTCGATATTGCGCTCTCAATATGTTTTGATAAAATTCAAATTCAGATAGAAGTTTTCAATAAATAATTATATTTGTTTTTTCACATTCAGATCAGCGCAGAAAGTATGGAAAAGTATGAAAAATGGAGAGACTGAGTACGTTCAGTTTGAATAAGGATCTCTTTTCTTCCATCATTGCATCAAGTATCCATCTGCTTGATTTGGTCCGAGTTCGTCTCGGGTAAGTGTTTAATCAGAATATTTTTGTATTTTACACTTAACACTTATAAGTTGAGAGTAGAAAATCTAAATTAAACACCATTTCTATCCCCTATATACCACGAACACGTAATGGCCAGGTAACAGGAGAACAGGAAACGTGTATTAACATGGAGATACATCATGTTCTTTATAAGATTGAGATTTTTTAGAGTAGGCTATTAGGGCATTAGGATTATACATATATATTCTTGTCCAAGTACCGGCAAGAATATATTCTGGGAGTGTACTAGTCTCGTAACACAGGGAAAGCAACAGGGTAAATGGTACTTGAGATTAAAATATTTAGCAAGTTTATGTGAATACGAGTACACGAAGTTTCTAAACTAATCAAATTAATAATAATATATTTGAAATATAATAAATGACACAACAGTAGCAAATTAATAATTATGCACTGAATAATTTTCGTTTGATTTGTAAATAATGGTTTTTAGGGAA